ATGCAAGCTGAAGGGGTCATGGTATTTTCAAACCCCAGGGCTTCTCTTTTCACATGCAGTTGGCACTCTCAGCTCAACAACCCACTGGTCCTGGAAGAAGAGGGAGATTTGGTTGCACAGGTGTGCCTAAGTGAAAAAGGTGGGGTGCTGAAAATCAGGAGCCATAGACGTGTTTCTGAAGGGCCCTGGGTAAAGAACCCAGAATGTTCAGCCTGTGAGCTCAGTGTCTAAAATTAATGGCACTACATTTAGGTAGCCCAGATTCTAAGCTGCAAACACCAGACCCATGGGTTAGGAACCTCACAGTCCTGAAATTAGAGCACCCAGAGTTCAAGCTCCTATACCAGACACCTTGAGCATGTTTAAGTCGGCCGGCCCTCAGTATCATCCTAGTATTTTAGTTGTTTGAGGCAGGAGTTGAAAAGAAGGACCCAGTACATTTTCTGTCCACAGTTCTTGGGTGGTTTAACCCCTTCTTTGCTACCTCTGCCATCATTTGTCTCTTTCCAACCTACTGGAGGGTGGAAGGAAAGTCTTCTCCCCCTCATCCTCTAGATGTGGGGGCCAAGCTTGGAGGAGTAAGCAAAGAAATAGAAAGTCATCACAATGGCTTTATGGCTATAAGTTTGTATTGGGTAAGCCTGACCACTGAGTTTATCCCCAGATTCCGAAGTCAAAGTTGTGAATGTGCTATTGACAGTTGATCTCAGAGACCTCCATATATCCACTGGGGCCCACACACATCCACACAAACAGCTTGTAGTAGTTTGAATAAGAATGGCCCTGGCCTTCATATATTTGAATGCTTAGTCACCAGGGAGTGGTCCTGCTTGAGAAGGATTTGGAGGTGTGGCCTTGCTGGAGGACATGTGTCACTGGGCTTTGAGGTTTCAAAACCCCAAGGCAGACTCGGTGTCTCATTCTCTTTCTGCTGCATGTAGGTAATGATGCAGAACTCTCAACTGCCTCTCTAGCACGACAGCTGCCTGCATGCTGCCCTGTGCCCTACCACGATGATAATGGACTAAACCTGTAAAACTGTAAGCAAGCTTTAATTAAAGGCTTTCCTTCATAAAAGTTGCCTTGGTCACGGTGTCTCTTTACAGCAATAGAACACCGACTAAGACACACTTCCATACACATTCTCTCTAATACATACAGCATATATGAATGCACAATTACAGAAGGAAGGAGAAAAGAGAAAGGAAGGGAAGGAAAAAGGTAGGGGTGAGTAAAGGAAAGAATAAGGGGAAAAAGAAGGATCCTCTGTGTATCTTGATGCTTGCACACTGAAAACAAAACAAAACAAAAAACCCTGAATCAGTTAAGCCATCAAATTTCTTAAGCAATGAAACTGACAAGAAATACAACATGGGAAAATAAGACAAACAGTGAGCACATGGATTCTTTCCTTTATATGCTCACCTAATGTGCTGTACATTGTATGTAGAGTTTCATCAGAGGGGACGGGGAAATAAAAGATTACAGACCTCAGCAATGTTCCACTCTGCCTTCTATTCTGCAAACTGCCACTACTGTTAGGTAGCCAGAACTTCCCTCCTTATTCTGAGAGCAAGGAGGAAACCCCTGCAGCTTGCCCCAGGCATGCTGCTTCCATTTTCTACTCTTAGCCTGTCTTGTTTTCTCTGCTTCATCCATCTCCTCACAAAAGAGCCTAAGGCAGGTACCCTCCTGTGTACAAAGAGTCACTCTTGTGAGAGGGATGGTGATCTGGGGGAGGGGTTGCCTCCTGCACTCTCAGCCTTCACGGGTTCCCTTCTTAGATCGAAGACTCTTCTGTAAGGAAAAGCAGCTTCTACCAGGGAAGTATCTTGGGCTGCTTATTGTGACTGCAAGAAGTGGTTGATGGTTTCTGGTCTCAGTAGATCACAGAGGTGACACCCAAAGTATGTCTGATGTTGTTCACTTACTTGGGCAAGAGTTTTTAGTCTCTGGACGAAAGGCAAGTGGAAATGACAGGCATTTTTTCAAAAAATAGTTTATTAATTTGTATTGTATTGTATTTTATGTACATTAGTGTTTGGCCTGCATGTATGTCTGTATAGGGGTGTCTGGTCCCTTGGAAGAGGAATTACAGACAATTATAAGCTCCCATGTGGATGCTAGGAATTCAACCTGGGTCCTCTGAAAGAGCAGTCAGTTCTCTTAACAGTTGAGCCATCTCTCCAACCACCATGACATGCATCTTAAATGTAAACAAGATGATGCCTTCAACATTAGTCAAGTGCTCCTTTCTGCCTTCTTAAATATGAAGTTACACTCCGGTTTCCCTGGAGAATTCATTAGCTTGGCCAGGGAGCATAGACATCAGGAAGAGAAGAACATGGCAGTTTGGTCCCTGAGAGAAAAGCAGACCATGTTCGTGATATCAGAACGCACCGATTCTGCAGAGATTTCTTTCCTCTTTTAGGTAATGAAAGTAAACTCAGTGGTTGGTCGTGGTGTGCAGCACAGCTGAGTACAAAGAAGGGGATATGATCTGGGGAAAATATAAGAACCCTCAAAACTGGCCATGCTAGGAAACTTGTGGGAAGGATACAAATTGAAGTCTGAGGGAAATGGGTATCTTCTGATGTCTTTTCTGAGTGAAGAGGTGAGAACGTTCCAGTAAGGTAGAGAAGAGCTATATCTGCTTCACATTAAGGCTTCCTGAAAGAGACCATTTCTGGCACATCCCCAAGTCATCAGCTGGTATAGGTGAACATAGTGACTACCGTCATTTCGAGGATAGGCAGAGGGGTCTCCAAACTTAACCTTTGAGAAGACCCGGGGTTCTTTCAAAGAAACTGTGAATTAAGCTGAGCTTTTCTTATGAGTTTGACAAGATTGTTTTACAGCAAAGTTATAAAACAGACTGACTTTGCTGGACCACGATGAATGTAGGGTCTCTACATGGCAGAAGCCAGTGCTAATCCAGAGGTAACTCCGATTCACCCACTGAGAAAGACTTAAAATCTTGTCAGCCGTAGACCAGCTGTGAATCAAGATGACCAAGAAGAATTAGTTGCAGGAGGTATACTGCCCTTGAGTCTAGTCATAACAGACAACATCGTGCTTGGGGATGCTGCCCCTTGCTTGTTGTGTCTGGGGACCTTGACAGTTGCCATTAGTATAGCTGTGTGTGCCCTAATCCAGTAACCAAGTACTCCCAGGCTAATGTGGGTCACTAACTTAAGACACAAACCTAAGGAAAGGAAAGAATGGCAAGAAAAGCTATAAGAATGACTAAGTGTAAAGGAAGATGGAAATTTTAAATTGAACATTTGAGTTAGATATATACAACAAAGGTTTACTCTATCTTTTGATAATGATGAATTTTACAAACCCCTTATATTGAATGCTTGTATTTCTTTTCATTTTGCACTTTTCTGTACCAAAAGTACTCTGTTTGATGAGTAAACAAATATTACTACTTTAAATTTCAGTGGTTCCCAAAACCTTAAAGAATACAATATAGTATCTTAAAAGTTTTTCTGAATTACTCACCTCCCTTGCTCCTTGCTCTCGAAATAGAAATTATCTTAAGCAAGAAAAACCAAGTCCATATGGTTGAATTTCAAAATACAAAGATTTCTTTTCTTCTGTTTTTCTGTAGTGTGTGTGTGTGTGTGTGTGTGTGTGTGTGTGTGTGTGTTAGTTAAGTGGAAGCAATCACATCTCAGTTGCAAAATTCTAGCCATAAGACATTTTTAGGTCACCACACAAAGGTTCACAGAGCATGTGCCTTCCAAGAATAATCTCCCAGGGCCCCATTCTACAATAAATATTTCCCAACTTCCCTGTGCAGAAGTCACAGCTAGGCTGCACACTTGAAGGGAATTGCCTCTGCATCCCGCCAGTTTGGCAGGCTGAGAACCCTTACACAAAGAAGGTCTGTCTCTGTTTGTTTTCCTCCTTTCTGAGCAATAAGCCATAGAAAGCTCCAGAAAGGCCTGGGAAAAACATGTCAGAGACGCACTGCTCCTGTAGACACACTAATTAACAAAACACAAAGATGTGCTTCCGTGTCTTGGACAGTCTTGAGTCTGACCACTGGACCTACTGAAAACATGGACGGCTGTAACCTTACTCTAAGGAGTTGGAAGAAAAGGCCCAGAGCCTGCGCTGCAATTCCAGCTTTATCCCACAGCGAAGTTCACACACAGGCAATCAAGATTTACAGCTAATGGTCCCATTACCCAGTAGAATCTCAAGGGCTCTTACAGTTCTGGTGTCACAGAGCAAGCACCAAAAAGAAAGTCATTTGGTGTCTTTAAAATAGACATAAGATCGAAAGAGGAAACTGGATTCAATGCATTTGTGACTAAAGTGTGAGAAGCCACTCACTTCCTGAATGACATTAAATATGTCCTTTCACCTCTCTTATTTGAATTTTATACATAACTAAGACCTAGGAAGATGCTTGAAATCGTACTCTGCCTGATTTTCTGCATACTGTTCAATGGAAGGGCCTCCTGGACACCTTGGCATGAGTGCTGCTGGTCTCTATTCTGCAGGATCAAGTTAAAAAGTTGTCAGCAATAAGGACTCTGGTAAGAGATCCCAAGTGAAGTTCAGGAGATGATGAGAAGGTAAAACTGAATATTAAATCAACCAACAAGTGATGACCTAGGACAAAAATAAAAACAATATAACCCATATACAGAATGATAGGTCATTTAACGAACAGAGATACAGTCTGCCAGGTTTCTTATACCACACGAACTACCAGAATACACTCTCAAATTCAGCCTGAGAGATACTGCTGCAGCATCTGGTCTGATACTGGTTTGCTGCTGGGCAGAGTTTGAATGCAGGTATTGCCCAAACCACAACTGGTAATAAAGGTTTGGGGCCTGGAAGGAATCTGTGGGTGGAGCCTCATCTATCCCTCACAGGACCAAATGGTTCCCTGGTCACAATTCTGACACAAGGACCTTAGTGCAGAAGACCATCAGAAGCACAGCGTGGGTCAGAAGGTTGCAAACCACATGTCCTACCTTACAGACGATGACGGAGATGACTGTAAGAAGCAGGTCTCTCGGTGCATAATGAACAAGAGAACTTGGGGAATGGAGAAGACGGATAAGAAGACTATGTTGTTATCCTTGGGAATCCAGTTCATGAGAAGAAGCCCAAGACGGAAGTTAATATGAAGAGGTGGAGCAGTACCAAATGTTACGTGCTAAGAAGAGAAGTCGGGTCACTGATTTCAAAAGGAGGCAGCCTTCCTCAGAACCCAGGAGCAACCTGCTAAGAGGAAAAGGAATTTTTATGAAGATTTTCTTTCATAAAGATAATAAACTTATTGACAAAACAGCAAAATGAATATTTTTATATTATTTTCAAAACCCATTTATTGATGTATTAGATTGAGTTATCAACAAAGAAAGACATGCCATTTGGATATTTTAAGATCAAATTCATATGGGAAATAGAGGGTAAATACTTATTTTTTGCTAATAATTCAGATTTTATTATCAACCTTGAGGGAGCTGGGCTGAAGAGATTGCTTGGTGGTTAAGAACACCGGCTGCTCTTCCAGAGGATGCGGGTTCTGTTTTCAGCACCACAGTGGGGCTCACACCCCCTGTGACTCCAGTCCCAGGGCATCTGACTGTTTCTTCTGGCCTCTGTAGGCACCAGGCCTGCAGTTGGTACACAAGCATATATGCCGGGAAAGCTCCTATATATATAATAATAAAACTAAATAGAATGAAAAATACCCAGAGCTGTGACTGTTAGTACAGTTCTTAACCCGCGGCCTCCTGTGCCAAGCACTGTGTACCTGCTGCTTCAAGAGAGCTTTGGTTTTAATGCTAAAGAAAATAAGGTGCACTGAATTGGTGTTTCAAGTTAAAATTACATAGCTACGCAAATCCATCTAGGTTCATTAGCTATTTTTTGGATTTATTTTGAAAAGCAAATGTTTTGTTAGTCAAAAACCTCTCATGTTTTGTGATCTTTCTGCAAGTGATCTATGTGGTCTCAGCAAAGTACATGAAACATTGCTGTTGAAGACACATCATCAATGATATATTCAGGTAGAATGTCAAAAATAGAAATTCGGGGTTAAGAAATGTCATAAAAATATCACCAGTATTTCCTTGTGTGTGTGTGGTTTGTATATATGTATATATATACGTATATATATACATATATACATTATTATCACAGTTTCCATCGAGTATATGAAATACATGTTAATTTATTTAAATCTATTACATATGAGAAAAGAGTCTTGGATTTTACATACTTTTAACAATGGTATCTTTTATGCATTTTTTAGGTACCAGATTTTATATACGCTGAACATCCTATTTATTCAACAGTTACCTGGCAATATATAGTATAGTTTTATTGACTTCTAAATACTAGTTCACGTAGCAACCTCTCAAATAAGAAAAGTACAAATATTTAGCAGACAGCAGAAAAGAACAAGACATATAGAACTAAAAGTTTTCCAATTACAAGTGATTATGGTCTAAAATTAAGGCAGTAATCCCTTAATGTTAACTGTACTGAAATGGCTGTTGTCCACTTTGGTCTCTTGCCAGAAGCACAATGATTATGCCCAGCATTGACGATGTAATGGATGTCTGTGAACAGCTCACTCGTTTGATGTGTTCTGCATATGAACGCACTGAACATCAGCTCTTCTACCACCTGGCTTCATTACGTGAGTCTCTTCCCAGTTCTGCACCACTGAGCCACATGCTCCATAGCACAATAATGCAGATAATAATAAGATATTACTTTACCTTTGGCTCAACCTACTACTTAAAAAGCCTAAGGAAACAAATTAAACTATTCGTTTGAAATAGGTTTTAAAGTGCTTTGTTGGAATTTTACAGAAATCTCACTAGTATTTAAAGTTTCTAAAGTATTAGATGTTTATAGCTTAATGGTCAGCCTCACAGAGAAACCAAGCCGGGGGAAGATTTAGGAGTCAAATGATCACATTTTAACATGGAACAGGGGAGGGTGATGAAAACATATTAAGAATGAGAAAAAGAGTAAAATACTAGCAGATGTGGAATATTGTACAATGTCCAAGCCTGATAGGCATCCATGGAGAGAGAAGCTAAAAGGAGTTTCCTGGGGCTGTTTTAGACTATTTTTTCAGTAAATCTGGTTCAGTCCCGTCTGCCCAGAAATTTGTAGTTGTTTGACTGACCTAGATAAACAGGTCTTGAATGTGTTATTAAATGAGTGACACGATGTTGTGGAGTACTTGTTTACACTTCACTGTGTGAAGATGTCTCTGCCTAGGTGCCTTCTGGTTGGTTTAATAAAGAACTGAAAGACCAATATCTAAGGAGGCAGAAAGAGGAAGAATTTCTTGGAAGACAGGGGAACTCTGGGGAGAAGAGAAGAGGAGAGATGCCAGCGAGATGTGGAGTAAGTCGGACATACAGAATGTGAGAGAGGTAAAAGCCATGTGACAAAATGTGGATTAATAAAAAAAAAAACAGGCAAATTTGTTTTAAGAGCTAGGTGGAAACAAACTTAAGCTAAAGGCCAAGCTTTCATAATTAACAAGAAGTCTCCCTGTCATAATTTGCCCTCTGGCTGCCCAAAGACAGTCTGACAAGAATGTTTGCTACACCATGTGTCAATGTATCCACTAGAAACATTCTCCATGTTAGACTGTACTACACAGTATAAATTTAACATGTGATATACTCTTGAAAATGAAGAACCTGATGGTTCTAAGTTACTCTGTCAGTTCTTATCTCAGGTCTAAGGCCAGTGTGTCTATTCACAAATCACCAATCAGGTGAGTTCCTTATGTCATCACCTAGATGCATCCATTAAAAAAAAGGGGTTTGTCACTCATATTGATTTAATAAGACACTGATTGGTTAGAAATCAGGCAGGAAGTATAAGTGAAGAAACCAGACTAAGAAAATTCTGGGAAGAGGAAATACAGAGAGTCACTCACTAGCCAGATGAAGAGGAAGCAAGATGAGAATGCCTTACTGAGAAAAGGTACCAAGCCACATGGCTAAACATAGATAAGAATTATGTGTGAATTTAAAATGTAAGAGTTAGTTAGTAATAAGCCTGAGAAATGGGCCAAACAGTTTGTAATTAATATAAGCCTCTGTGTGTTTCTTTGGGACTAAATGGCTGTGGGACAAGGAGGAACAGAAACTTACATCTACATGGCCTGGTTCACTCTAAACTCTGTCTAGACATTCTCTGATATCCCACAGCTACCCTTGACTGCTGGTAGTTTCCAAATATGTGTCCTTTCATGTTCTTTTCTTTCCCTTTTCCTCTGCCTGAAACATCTTTCTTCACAGGTTTGAATTAGTCCTTTTATCCAGACTCCAGCTTAAACTTAATTCTATGAAGAGTTTCTAGAATAGGAAAAATCACGTCTACTACAGATAGAAGAGAACCACTCACCGGTAGCATATGTCAGTGCCTTTACCTTTCTGATTGTCACTTTGCCTATTGTGGGCTCTTCTCACCTGAGTGAAACCCAGGAGGAAATAGTGGCTTATTTTTATCATTGTTCCTGTACCTAGTCCTGCTTGTAAAACATGGCATGACTCAGAATAGTCCTATAAATCAATGAAAAGAAATCTAAAAATCTTTACAGAGAAACATAATGAATGAAATATAGGAAGATAAGAAATTCAACCTAAGAGAAGAGAACTCAAATTAAGGCCTGAAGTTTTTCCATGTGAATGTTTTTAAACCTTCCTTGTCTCCAAAAACAACCCCACATGGGTAAGAGGTCTTTCAGAGATGTAACTGTGGTCTCTGATGTAGAAAGAAAAGAAAAATCAGAATAGAATACGTGAAATGACACAAAAATAAAACTCCGTAGGGCCTGTACAGGGTGAGCCTCTTGACACTCACTGTGCTGGTCACTTCTGTCACTGTAACAAAAAGCTGACAAAGCCATCTTAATGTAGAAACAGCTTATTCCAGATCATGGTTTCAGATCTTTCATTCCACCATCCACTGGTTCCACTGTCATGGGCCTGGGGTAAGACAGAACATTATGGTAATGGAATCTTGAGACCCAGGAGATGACTGTCTCAGGTTGACCCCAAATCAGAGAGACAGACAGCAAAGGGAGCAGAGCAAGACAAACCATTCAAGGGCATGGCATCAGTGGCTTACCCCAAATCAGAGCTCTCCATCTAATAGCCTGTTTACCTATGAGCTTATATAAGTTGATTAATTGATTGCTGAGGTGAAAATTGTCAAAATCCAGCCACCTCTTTATAACACTGTTATGTGGTGGCCCAAACATTTAACACATGAGCTGTTGATGTTGTCTTTATATGCAAACCATGGCACTCATAGATTCTTTACCTTACTGCTTTTTCTGTGACTTATAAACTACACCAATGGTAGTATGTTCACTCAAATTATTAATATGAATGGAAGGCAAAAGCTAACCCAAGATTTGAAAGAACAACAACAACAAAAAGAGCAAGAATAAGAACACTTTTTATAGCCATGGCATGAAGCTGTTGCAAACAGTGTGCGCTCAAGATGCACATGTGAGAAGGTAAGAATGGGAGGAAAGTGTGGTTCAGAGAAACCGTATCATGCTGCAGAGTCAGGTCCCTTCAGTGACAGAGCATCTCAGCTCAGAACCAAAGGCCTCCCTAGAGCTGCGCTGATAAGATGGGTATTTCCATGAACACTGATGACAGAGCAGCCTGTCCCGGACATCCCCTTAGTGAGACTTGGCCTGGAAAGCAGCAGCAAACCAAAGGGAACGGACAACTAAAGTGTTTTCCCATAAGCACAGGGCTTTCATTCACCCTTGGCAAAGGCTTAGAGTCAGTCTTCGTTGAAGGGCATACTAAAACCCTGCTGAGCTGACAGCTGCCACTGGCCTAGAGCCCACAGAGGATCTGAGGAGAATAATTCTCCCCATTTACCCCAGGGCTCAAAATAAAACTGAATTACCACCTTGGAGTAACTGAATGTGTGTGCCTCTGGGAACTGAGGACATTGTCTCTGACCTTTTGTGATCAGACTGGAGTCAAGAGGCTCAGAGATAAACACATGATGCCACCAA